TATGCGTATCCCCTTTACTCTAGCACCAACGCATAGTGTTCAAGTCTGACTCCTCATCCCCCGTATCTCACCCTGCTTCCCCCTGAGCTGGTCACCACATCCTACCCACCTTTCATCTCCTGCCCTCTTTCAAAGAGGAACCGCTGCTGTCTTGCTCTGCAAGTCCATCTCAGCCCCTTGGTCTGGCTTGTGCAACACGAGCTGACCTGTATCAGCCTTTGCATTGACCAACCTCCCAGCTAAGACACTACAGAAGGTTTGGAGCTGCTTCCCCTGAGGACTATTTGGGCAGAGAAACAGGAATGAGGGCTCTCCTGATGGCATGTCTGGCTGCTGTCCTCTGCATGGATGTAGTGAGTTGCTCTGAGTATGGCAAGGCTTGGGATGGGATGGAAAAGAGCTGGCCTTTTGGCCTCATAAGACCAACTCCAGTGTTCTTTAAGAAGCCAGAAGATAGCGATAGATAAGATTTCCCTTCCCTGTCTGTATGGTCAGCTTTGCTTCTCCTTTGTGCTGTCATGGCTGCCAAAGCACTTGTGCTGCAGGCATCATGCCCACAGAGCAAGCCAGAATCCATAACCTTCCCCTGTTCTCAGGATGTGCCATCAGAAATGGCCCTTTGGGTTTACTCTTCAAACCCACCTGCATCTTGAGATCTGCAGATGATGCCATGGTCTTCAGATAGGTGTGAAATTCAGCTTTGAGCTGAAAGTTGAGTGCTTTTATGGCTCCGTGACCAGTTGCTAAGTGCTGTAATGGGGTAGTTGAACATCAATGTCTGCATGAAGTTTCTGCTTCCCACCCAGCTGGAAGGAGGGGTTTTCTATAAGGAAGTGTGTGCTCAGCAACTTTGGGTGTGGGATAGTAGAAGGGTAGAACTATCTCAACCAAATCCTCTATGTGTTACTCTGTGACCTGCACGAGGATGGGAACAAGTCCAACTGGGAAGGGGATTCTTGCTTTGAGCTCATGAAAATCACTTATGTTCCTCCTCTGTAGCCAACTCACTGTTGTGCTACACCTGGACCAAGCAGACCAGAGATGAGCAGTGCCTGATGACTTCCCCATGTGTCAAGAATGAGACAGCCTGTGAGACTGTAGTGAGGAAGATAGGTGCTGGAGAGTCCCACTGCCATGAACTGCATGGGTTAGTGAACCTTCTCCTTCCATGGGACTTTGGGAGAACTTGAATAGTGTTATGTTACAGGTCAAGCCTGATTATTTCTTTGCTTGAGCATCAGGTAAGGAGTAGGTAAATGAACACCATAACCCATATAGGACATGTTGCTGTTGGAGTCCAGAGGAGGCCATGAGGATGATCAGGGCTGGAGCACCTTCCATATGGAGCCAGGCTGAGAACATTGGAGCTGTTCAGCCTGGAGAAGCTGCGTGTCTGAAGGGGACTACAAGGATGCTGGAGAGGGACTTTTCATCAGGGACTGTAGTGATAGGACAAGGGGTGATGGGTTCAGACTGAAACAGGGGAAGTTCAGGTTGGAGATAAGGAAGAAGTTCTTTACTGTGAGGGTGCTGAGGCGCTGGTACAGGGTGCCCAAAGGTGTGGTGAATGCTCCATCCCTGGCAGTGTTCAAGGCCAGGTTGGACGGAGCCTTGGGTTACATGGTCCTAGTGTGAGGTGTCCCTGCCCATGGCAGGGGGTTGGAACTGGATGATCCTATGGTCCTTTCCAACTCAAGCCATTTTATGATCTCATGTGCTGCTTGAGGACTAGAGTCAGGATTTGTTCTTGGGAGGGTTCATGGGTTAGTTTTATTGGACTCTTTATGCAGGTGCTCACCAGCAGAAGCTGATCCACAAAACCTGCACTTCAGCTTGCAGTGAGTCTCAAAACACTTTTGAATGCTGCAGTCAGGACAACTGCAATCGCAATAGGCATCTGGGATGGGACCTCCTGCAATAGTGCTGGGGACTGCAGTTCTGATCAGTGTTACCAAGGCCCTTCTCTGGGGTGGACTTCTGATGAGGTCCCTATTGAAGCTGCTTGACCCATCTTGGTCCTCCAGCACCTGCGGTCATTTTACAGTCTGCCCCTGTGAACGTCTTCTGAGCATCTGATGTTCAGGCATGGAAAGACCAGTCTGAAGCTAGCTTGATTTGATAGAGAAGAGATCCCTCTTCTATAGCTTCTTATAGCTTTATAGTTATTTCTTTATAGCTTCTCATGCAACAGGGCTCTGCAGCCACCATTAATAACATAAGAACTTTCCAAGATGTTTATTATTTATTCTTTTTTATTCAGTTATTTATAACATCAGGGCTGGGGTTTTGCAAGCAACATGATCAGGTTTATGCAGATACACAGAAATGGAGGTGAGGAGGAGGAGGATACAATCCTGATTGGCACAGCCCCACATCAGAGTGTGTCTCTTACTGTTCCATCCAGGCAGATATTTCTAAAGGCTTATAGGGAAAGGTCTGGAAGAACGATGAATTTGCATCTCCAAAGCTATTGTTCTGGTATCCTGTCTAGACTCTGGTCTTGACAAGGTCTGGGACAACGTTGGGAAGGCATAAAGCAAATGAAATAGCCTGTGTTGGTTTCTGGTCCTGGGGTCAGTTAGTGCCCATGTGTATAACTGTGCTCTCTCCCTTTAAAATAAGGTGGCTGAATCCAAAACACCCCTTGGAAAGCAGACCTGGAATTGTCAGGGATGGTCCTAGTTGGTCAGGCCAAAACCATGCTAACAGTTAAGTAGTGTGGACAGCCATGGGACAGCCCTTGAAAGTCCATGGGCTCTCCGTGTATTACTCATAGTCTTAGCTGCCTCCATTACAGCTATATTGCAGTGTGGTTCCACCCCCAGGGCAGATGGAAGGGTGATGACCTCCTCTGGAGCTTGTTATACCTGGTGTCGTGGTTTAACCCCAGCCAGGCAGCTTTTTCACTCACTCCCCCCCCTCTTCTTGCCCTCCCCCTACTCCTGGAGGGACAGAGAGGAGAATCAGAAAGAATGCAACTCCCACAGGTTGAGATAAGAACAGTTTAGTAACCAAGGTATAACACAAATCACTACTGCTACCACCAATAATAGTAATGATAAAGGAAATAATAAGGGAAGAGAATATAACACCTCATCACCAGGCGACCGATAACTCGCCCCCCAGCCTGACCAAGCACCGACCGATACCTCCTCCAACCCTGCAGTCCACCTGCCCTTCTGTGTAACTCCCAATTACATCCTGGGCATGACGTGCTGTGGTATGGAATACCTCTTTGGTCAGTTTGGGTCAGGTGTCCTGTCCCTGCTTCCTCCCGGCTTCCCTCCTCCCTGGCAGAGCATGAGGTTCACAAAGTCATTGGCCAAACCAAAACATCATTGTTATCAGCTCTGTTCCCAGCCCGAAAGTCAAAGCACGGCACTGCACCAGCTACCAAGAAAGAGAAAAATGACAGCTACTGCTAAACCCAGGACATTATCCACCCCTTATTCTATACCATTCACGTCATGCTCATTTTCAATATACATTTTCAATATACCATCACTCTTATCTAAGTGCACTCTCATCGTAGTGCATGTGCCAGTCCCTATAAAGCTGCTGTGCTTGCCGGCTCTCCCACCACCAGCTTCTCTTTTCCTGAGTCCAGATCTTCCTCCTCTGCCTTGCTGGGAAATGCTGCGGGGTCTCCTGCATCCTCCTGGGGCTCGGTGGGCTGCTGCTGGGGAATGCTCTCGGCCGTCACGGGGCTGGGGTCGGCAGTAGCTGCCCAGGGAGGTTGTGAATGCTCCATCCCTGGCAGTGTTCAAGACCAGGTTGGACGAAGCCTTGGGTGATATGGTTTAGTGTGAGGTGTCCCTGTCCATGGCAGGGGGGGTTAGAACTTAATGATCTTAAGGTCCTTTCCAACCCTAACTATTCTATGATTCTAGGTATGATCCCCTAGGTAACAACCAAGACCAAGCTGGGATTTGGGCAATAGAGGAGTCCCAGAGACGCCATAAAACCAGGTAACACTGGTAATTAGATTTAGGATGCCCCTGGGGCATCGTTTCCCTGCCTTGCTTGAAAGAGAGGAAGCCAAGGGGCAGGTTCTCATCAGGATTTCAACACCTCAGTGTAATCTAGCCCCAGGCTGCCTGCGCTGTGCTCTTGAACATGAGTATTCCTATTCCACAGCAGGACTTCCATGATGAGTTCCTGGTCACTGCATGGGAAGTTGGGTAGGAGAAACTACAGGATTTAAGACCATGTTACTTTGCAGTATTCCTATGGGTAGGGTTATATCCAAGCTCCCCTTTTCATGGGGAGTTAAGCACTGGGACGTCTGTGAAGGTCTGAGATGGGGACAGATCTGAGTCAGGGGGAGGATGGTGTCAACCCACCTTGTCCTGCTTTTGGGGAGGTCAGAGCCATACAAAGAATGAGCTTTGCTAGACCATGCACAAGTAAATCCCCAAGGGAGAAGGAGAAAGATGGAGAGAAAGAGCCAGAAGGAAATCACTATTCAGCCACTGTCATTGGACTCAAGGATGGGAAGAGCTGTATCTTGCCTTCACCAGGGGTTGCTCATCACACAGAGCTGCCTCTTCTCCTCTCAGGGCAACGCATGCTTCAAACTGTTGTCTTCCCTGCCAGAAACAAGTGCCATCATGTTAACCTGGCATCTTCCTGCTCCCCAACCCCATCCAAAATGAAGGGTGTGGAACAAGACAGGATTTCATTCTGCAGTTGCTTCAATAGGTTTTACTTAAGGCTGGAAAAGCCCTGGTGGTGCAATCATGCATGGTACTGAGGACCAGTTCTGTCGTGCAGCCCCTGGTGTACTAGGAGTTGGGTGGGAAATAGGAATATGTACAGATTGGGATGATAGTGGGATAAATGGCAATATTTGGGAACCTTCTGAGATGCCACCTAAGAAGCAATGAGGCAGACAACATGCTCTGACCACAGGAAGCTGAATAGTTAAAAACATAAGGGAACATAACATAAAAGGAAGAGCTCCCATGAGACCCAGTCGTGGTGCTTCTGTCCCTCTTTGCTGCTGTGGTTCCATATGTAGTCACTTGTTCTGTAAGAAGAGCTCAGTATGAGGCTCTCAGAAGATGAGCAGAGCCTTGTCTTACTCCTGTTCATTGACTTCTGATCTCTGTTCTACATCCAGGAAGACTCAATGGCCATAACACTGCAGAGGGCAACCAAACAGAGCTGTGTTTACTCTCCAGCTCCAACACAGTTGTGCAGTAGACTATGTATATATGTATATGCAGTATGTATGGCACGGCCAAGAGTAAAATCAGGGACCAAGCTGTCGTCCTGAAGGATGTGATTCACGTTCTCGCACGGTTCTGGTCTCCAAGGCTGAAGCTAACCTAGGGAAATAAACAGTTCCTGGGAACATTCCTGATCTGGAATGCTGTCATCCACATTTCATTAATCATTGTTAGCATGTTCCCTGGCAAGGCTTTAACATGGAGCAACCAGCGTTGCCCCATGCAATGTCTGGAAGAAAAACAGAGGAGATAGCACAATGGAAGGACTCACAACAGGCACTGTTGTTGTTTGCCTCTTGGCCTCCATGCTGGACATGGTCCTGGATACAGTCCTGGACACGTTTAGTATAGTGATATGGTTGTAGCTTCATTTCTACTCTGTACTGCTGGATACAGGACTCCTTTATTGCTGTTTTCTGCCTTGCCGTACCCAAGCACTGCTTTCCACGCTGCAGTCGTGTTGCTTCCATGTGTTGGCCATCCAGGGTGACCCCACCATCCTCAGTCTCCCATCTATGCCTCTGAGGAAATGCCAGCCATGACAGTCCTACACCTCACACATCTGCATCAGCCATACCTGAGGCCAGGATGGTAACTTCCCAACTATCTGCCTCAATGGGCCACCAGCAACCCTCTAAATGCCAAGCAGGCCATTATGCACCCTTATCCATCATCACACTTCTCCATCAAACAACTCCTGCCAGTGGTGGACCACATCCTGTGGCCTTGCAGGTCATCTTTCTGCTGTCAGTGAGGAGATTTGGATCCCTGGACCAGGTGACATCTTTTCAGCTCTGTGTCAGAGAGATGTTCACGCCATCAGTCCTTGGAAGTGAGGGGATGAAGTGAGTCAGGCACATTTCTTTGTTTAAATAGTAAAGAATGAAGTAAAAAATGAACCTTGATAATCATACTGAAGAGTAACACAATTGTTTTCCTCTTCTTTTTACAAGGGCCTGTGGAGGCAGGACAAGGGGAATGGCTTTAACCTGCCAGAGGGGTGACTGAGCTGAGCTCTTAGGCAGAAGCTCTTCCCTGTGAGGGTGCTGAGGCGCTGGCACAGGGTGCCCAGAGAAGCTGTGGCTGCCCCATCCCTGGCAGTGTTCAAGGCCAGGTTGGACACAGGGGCTTGGAGCACCCTGCTCTAGTGGAAGGTGTCCCTGCCCATGGCAGGGGTTGGAGGTGGGTGATCATAAGGTCCTTTCCAACCCAAACCATTCCATGATTCTATGATTCTTCCTCAAAAAGCAGTCAAATCTGCTTAAAGCCAAACTGCTTTATCAGCACAATCTTTGCCAGGTTGCTCCTGGCCACTGAGCCTTGGCTTCCCAGGCTGATTCCCAAAGTGTCACCCCTACAGGAGGACACCACACATTGAATCACTCCGGGCAATCCTTATTCTCTGGAATAGATCTATCTCTTCATTCCCTGCCTTGTGACTTCTGGGAGCACTGACACACCTTCTCTGGCATCCCCAGTGACATGCAGTGCCTGGGTCTGGCAGGATTTCATCTCTTGGGCAAGAGATGTGGCTTATCCTCTCCACACCCTGAAGTTATATGTCTGTTGGAGAGGAATGGCGAGTGCTCGTGGGGTTATCAGGGCTGACTTCATCGTCCGGTTGATCCTGCTCTATGTCACCTGTATTGGGAGACCTATTCTGGTGTCAGAAACCTCAAAAATAGCTGCAAATCAGTCAAAAAAGCTCACTTAAATAACCTCCCCCCTTCTTTTTATCTTGAAAAGCAAGATGCTTTGGGTTTCGGTGTCCCTTTGAACTTCCTCTCTCTGTCTATGGCATCGTTGTGATGTGTAATGATGAGTCCCATCACATGCTTTAGATGTCTTTTATGAGCATGACCTCTGCTTCAGGGTTGCTTACTCATCTGACTGATCTCCTGCCTAAAAACTAATGTTGTCCCCGAGTCATTTTAGCCCTTCCCTCATCCATCTAATCTTTCTTCCACATGTTTTCCTAGCCTCTGCCTCTTCTTCTGCTTCTCCATCTTCTAAACCCCAAGCAGTGTAGCTATAGTTGGGTCTCTGTTCTCTTCCAGCAGACCAAGTCTTACAGGGTGGAGAAGGAAGGGGCAAGCAGAGAGTTGATTGCCCAAGTGGCTTTATTCAAAGGAGCTGATCCTACTTCATCCTCTCCACTCCTTGGTGGCTTGTTGAGTGGTGACTCATGGAGATGTCTGCTGATACCCAGCACTAAACCTCCTCCTAACTCTTTCCTTGGAAGTAGAAGCAGGACAGGCACTTAAACAGGGGCCCCAGAAGGGCTGAAATTACCAGCTCCAGCTCCACCTAAACTATAAGCATGCAGAGAAATCACACAGGCTTAGAACATTATATCTGATTGGACTTGGAATCGGATGCTCCATGCAGAAAGGCATTTCTATCCTTTTCTCAGATACAGTGAAGAAAAGCTGTTGCAAAGCCAGAAACCAACCTCCAGTGTCCCAGCCTCTGCATTTGAACACTAAAGCCATTGCCTTCTTGCAGCAGCACCTCTGAAAACCAGGACATGGAGCATTTAGGACTTTGTAGGTAACCAGCAGCTTTTATAGGCTATCAGGAATTTCTGAGGCATTTCCTGTTTATCTTGCCAGCCATGAATATATGAGATCTAACCCGACTGTAGATATTGGGACTTCTCCAGGTCTAACCCTGGAGAAACACTTGGCAATAATCCACATAGATGAAGCCACTAATTTACTCGGTACCATTTTGCTTTGAGTAGCTTCCTTCACCGAACTACCTGGCCACAGATGCGATGATCAGATTGGAGCTGAACAGTACAAAAACCCCACTCAGACATCAGGAGCACTGCTAGCCTGACCATAGGTAAATTAAAGTATTAAAAGCAATAAATGGAATGAATCGCTTTAGTGCTTTCACTCCTCTTTGGACCGATCAGAACAGCCTGAAGGCAATACCATGGTGAGAAAACAGCCCACGTGCATTCCTGGCCTCTCAATAATGCGTGATCCCTGCCCACTGTTTCCAAATCATTGTCTTCATCATCACTCTGTCCAAAGGCAGGGAAGATAAATATCCTGTCCTCAGGTGAGGGTGCTTTTCCTGAGCTCTGGAGACTACTCAGAGAAGATGAAGGCCTCTCTCCTTGCTGTGCTGGCTTTGATCCTATGTGCAGGTCAAGGTGAGGTATCACGGTTTGCTATTAGACAAAGAATAATTGTGTGTTTTAGAGTCAGGGAGGCTTTGTAGGCAGGGAATGAAGCATGGGAGAGGGTGTCTTAGCTCTTGCAATGGTGCAGATGAAGGACGCAGTGCTCCTTTTTGGGTTTCTAATCTGTATTCTCAGCCTGGATATGTAAAAGGTTTATTTTATGCAGGGAAGTTTCCCTATAGACACACCTATTGCGGGGTTTTGTGAAAACAAGGCATAAAAAAGGAGGAAGTTGCCACCATTTGGCCTTTGTTAAGAGGCTTCACAGTGCTTTTGTCTGTTGAGATGATGCAAGACTGTGGCTGTTTCTAAATCTTGATGCAGAAGTGCTTCAGCCTATGAAAGCACAAGGCATCAACAACTCTATGCATCTGCTTCCTACCACAGTCCATTTCTAGCAGCAGCCATAGGACGGGCCAGACCTACAACATCTGCCCTTGTGGAGCTCCCTACTTATTGCCCCTGATTTCTGCCCAACTCAGAGTCCCGACTTCCTGATTTCAGAGATTTTGGGACAAAGTTGGGGAATTTGGGATTATTTGGGTTGTGGACTGAATGGGTTAAGCAGCCTTATGATGGGAGATTGGGTGAAGATGTATATTTGCGTCTTATTTGCATTATAGATTATGTCTTTTATTTCACAGAGAGAATGCAAATGAAATCAGAGCCTTCTAAGTGTATGTTCTTGTAGTCTCTGTAGGAAAGGCAGTTAATAACCAGAGAGAATGAATGTTATCTTCATTTTGGAAAGAGGAACAGGGTTTGCCAGCACTTAAGAGATCTGCCAAATTGTCTGGTGTAGGAAAATGAATTATTGGAATAGTCATCTCTGCCTCAGTGTGGCCTAAGACAACCTTGTTGCTCTTTAGCTTTGCTCACTTACCAGAACAGCGATTCCCAAGTGTTAACAAGGCCCAGGGGACAGAGGGCTTGTCTTCAGTGCCAAAATGAGGATTGACCTAATTTGCATTAGGTTACCTAGCAATAAAAATGAAGGGTTAGACTCCTTGTGTCTTAGGGCTGAATTCGCACCCTAGAAGCCCTTCTCCTCAACCCTGTGGTCTTTTAACCCAGGTAATGAATATACATTTGAGGGCATTGAAGTCCCACTCAAAGATGTGGGCATGGGAGACTGACTTCTTTAGGCTGTAGAGGTCCCAATTAACCCTATTCAACTGCCAATTCTTACTTCTCAATTAGGCAATAGTCTAGTAGTCTCTAACAGCTAGAAAGGGGACATCTAGCCTTGGGACATCTTTATAGACTCCTACAGAAGACCCTGCTCTTCGCTACTCCCTACATCACAACAAACCAGGTGCCCTTGGCCCATTTTGTTGAAGGAGGTGATCCTGCCCCTCTGCTCTGCTCTGGTGAGACCCCACTTGCAGCACTGTGTGCAATTCTGGTGTCCTCAGCATAAGAAGGACATGGAGCTGTTGGAGTAAGGCCAGAGGAGGCCATGAGGATGCTCAGAGGCTGGAGCACCTCCGGTATGGAGACAGGCTGAGAACATTGGGGCTGTTGAGCCTAGAGAAGAGAAGTTGTGTGTAGACCTCATAGCAGCTTCCAGTGTCTGAAGGGGGCTGCAAGGATGCTGGAGAGGGACTCTTTATCAGGGACTGGAGTGATAGGACAAGGGATGATGGGTTCAAACTGAAACAGGGGAAGTTCAGGTTGGAGATAAGGAAGAAATTCTTTACTGGGAGGGTGGTGAGGCACTGGAATGGGTTGCCCAGAGAAGCGGTGAATGCTTCATCCCTGGCAGTGTTCAAGGTCAGGTTGGACAGAGCCTTAGGTGACATGGTCTGGAGTGAGGCATACCTGCCCATGGCAGTGGTTGGAACTGGATGATGTTAAGGTCCTTTCCAACCAAACCATTCTATGGTTCTATGATTGTGCTATTATTTTGAGTGCAGGGAAGGAAGGACAGGCTTGCATCATCAGTGTATTTCTGCAGAGATATGTGTGCTTGAATGCATGTGTTGGGTGTAAAATTCAAGTGTGTGGATGGAGGAGTGGGTTTGGTCTGGGCTCTTGCAGCCCCATCACCTTCAGCAAACCTGCACCTCATGCATTTGAGAGTCAACTGAAAGAAGGTGGCAATTTTTGCTGCCAGGACTGGTTGCATTTTATCTCCATCTTCCATATGTTGTGTCTCCTCCTGCAGCAACTGGTCTGTATTGCTACACCTGCGAGTGGGAGCAAAGCAACTGGAGGTGTCTGAAGGCCAATAAGTGCTCAGACAAGGATGAGTACTGTGTGACCAATGTTGCCTCTGTAGGAGTTGGTATGTGCTGGGCATGTATCCTCTGATGGGGTCTCAGGAATGGGATGTGGGGCATTGACTGGATTTGTGATGGTTGCCTTTTGTTGATGGATGGGGTGAGGAGTCATGGGGAAGCACATGTGGGAGGTGGAACCTCTGTTAGTCCAGGCTTACAGTGATGAAGTTTGGACTGTTTGAAGTACTTCTCCCAGTCACAGCTTCTCTTTAGCTTTGATTTCATGCCTGCATGGAAAGGCAGAGGACATTGAGAGAAGAGGAAGGGCTAAGAGAAGATCCTCCAGAGGAATAATGAATGAAATTGAATCATGATTAGATAAGGAGATGAAAAGAAGCAGGAAGCCAGGATAAGAAGATCTATCTAGAGAGATGTAAAAGGGAATTAAATTAGTTCCTTCAAGCAGAGAAGCCTCGAGATGTGCTTTCAGTCCAGGCATGGACATTGTCTCATGGATACCATCATAAAACTAAAAAAGCCTTGACGTGAGGGTCCATCCTGTGAGCTGAAAGATGCCCAACAGAGATACTGAACAGAGCAGGGATATTTAGTGGTGAATGTCCCATCCCTGGTAGTGTTCAAGGCCAGGGCTTGGAGTAACCTGGTCTGGTAGAAAGTGTCCCTACCCATGGCAGGGGGTTGGAAATGGATGATCATAAGGTCCTTTCCAACCCAAACCATTCTATGATTCTATGCCTTGTGTAGCTGGTCATCAGCAATTACTGGGCTGCGGTGGGATTGGGATGGGTCTCACTGGCCATGCTGGTCCTTGGGGCTGTGGGCGGACAGTGGGACTCATCTCCCCATCTCCCTCCTGTACAAGATTGAGGAGCACTCAACAAACTCTCATTGCTAAGACTTCTCTGTCCTTTCTTTGGACAAGGCTTTTTGTCTTTATGGAAGAGGATCACCAAGAAGTGCTCCGAGACCTGCCCACGCCACAACTTCCAGCTGGGCCTGGCTACCTACACCTCCTATTGCTGCCAATCCTTCTTGTGCAACCTGAGTGCGTGCCCAGGACCCAGGCTAGCTAAGGACTGAGGTGGTTTGGAGTCCCATGCCGGTGTCCTTCTTCACCTGCTCAGTGGTGGTGGAATGAAGCGGCTCCTGAAGGCTTGAAGTGCATGGTCAGATCCCCCCAGGAAGGTATGGACATTAAACACATTGCAGAATAGATAAAGTATTATGGTCACCAACTCTTCCCTGTGTTGCTTCCCAACCTGTAGGTTCTCACTTGCTTCTCTTGCTTGAGCTCTGTTGCCCTGGCAGCTTGATGGAGAAGTGACCATGTTATGTCCTGCAGGCTGGGGGAGAGAGATGCTGCTTCTGCTTGTCCTGCAGATCCCTATAGGGGTTTCTCCTGCAATCTTCCTTATTTTGGGTGCATTTGGGAGTCACACAGAGGGGTGGGCAAAAATAACAACCCCTCTGCACCAGCTCTGAAGGGAAACTGCAAACTCACAGGGTTGCTGCTGGGGAAGAGGAAAAGGCTGTCCTGTATATAGAAACTTGAGCTTTTACATATCTGTATCATCTATATCTATATATCATCTATATGTCATCTATATCTATGTCATCTATATCTATATCTATATCTATATCATCTATATATGTATCTGTATCTATATCTTTCTATATATCTCACCTATAATGGGTGCTAACCACAACTCTCCTCCCTTACACCCCTCACCCCCTCCATCCCTCCCTTTTCCCAGCCCCAACTAGGGACAACGACATCCCCCTGTGCCCCACTAACAGTCAGACACATCAGCTATGTACCTCTTCCTCTTGGTGCTCATCTGCACATCTGTGCACATCTGTGCACATCTGCAGTCTTTCTCCCCACCTCCACTTCCAGCAGCTGTCCTTCATCACCCCTTGCTTTCCTGTGGCTCTTTCCAAGCCAAGTGACCTTACCCAGGGCTAGAACTTGCCCTAGACCTACCACTTGGATTTGTGTGTTCCAGCCAACCCTCTATTTACCTGTTCCTCCAACATCACCCAAAGCAACTGCAGGGTAATGAGAAGCATTTGCAGCATTTGGGTCGAGCTGCTGAGGAGCAGTGGAGGCGTTTATAAGAGAAGAATACAGATTTCAGAGAGGCAGAATATTTCATGTCCATGTTTCCAGAGGCTGTGGGGAAATCAGGGTAAAAGGAAGATGAAAAACATGAACAGTGATGAGAGCGCAGAGAATTCTCATTACTGGATGCTTCTCCCTCCTCCCAAGCAGCAATTTTCCCTGGAAAAAGCATGGAAAAGCTTAAACTGGGGTCATTGGAGTTCCCAGATCTGCTTAGCCAAGGGATGACGCTCTATGCTGTGCTTCAAACCCAACCCTGGTAAACAAGGAGGGGGGACAAAAGGGGCTTTGAGCTGCCCTGAGCATGTCTGCCTTGGGCTGGTGCCTGGGGCTGTGCTGGATGAATGCTTCCTTCTGAAGCGCTGCATAACAGGGCTCTTCAGAGATGTGTGTGCTCACTTATTAATTGACTTCTACTCTTCTTTACCCTCCTTCTCACAGTTACACCACGCTGCGAGGGCACATCTCCATGCTGAAGGAGCCACCACGGGTGATGCACCTCCCTTTACCTCTTCATTAGAGCACCATCTCTTCCATACCCTATTCGTCACCCCGGAGCCATCCAAGCCCCCTCTTTTCCTTCAGCTCTCATTTATTCCTCACACAATATTTCCTCATATAAAGAACCAAGGGGACTCGTGTGGTTTGGTTCCTGCGTGCCAGAATTTTTCAGCTCATGAAAGCGCTGAGGAATCCCAGTTGGATAGACTCTAATAATTAATATTTCATTGTGTTGGATTTACACATCCTGCTGTAGGAGAGACATAATCCTCCACAATCTGCAGGAAAACACAATTGGGAATGGGTATATTTTTCCCACTTTAAAGCAAAAATGGCTTTATTTTAGCTTGGTTTGGTTTGCTGCAAAAAAGCATTCTTGTCATAGCTAATGGAAGGGGAAATAAATCATCATGGGCATAGTTGAAGAGCAAAGTGGTATTCCCCTTGCACTGCAGCACATGGGCACTGAAATCTGCCATCCTCCCCTACTCTGGTGGCTATTCCTCCTCTCCAACAGATCTGAGATGCTCAGGGAGGAAGAAGAGGTGGGTGTGATTCTTAACTACTCACCTTGACCAGGAATCAGGGCAAACTGGGACCATGGAGAGATGAAAGCCATTGACACACGGATGAGGCTGTCCAGAAAATCACCCTGAACCTGTGCCCCTTGCTGCGTTGTTGTGCAAAGCAGAATCCACCCCTTGGGTTTGAAAGTTGCTTGGAGGACCCTAAACAGAGAGGGGCTATGCACTGGGTGGAAAGGAACTAGTTGTTACTATCGCCATAGACTGCACTGAGCTTCTCTGACCCTCTCCAAAGACGTGATGGTGATGGGAGAGCTGGGAGAGAGATGAAGGAATCCTTCTGCTCTCCCCAGCACAAGTGGAACATCCCCTCAGGTGCAACATCCAAGTGGTTTGGGGCATCCTACGCTGCAAAAGCAGAGCTGGAGATGCTCCAGGATGTGGGAGGAATATATTACAGAGACTTGGCACAGCGTTATCTCAGGCATCAGGAGAGGGGATACCCAACCAGGCAGACATGGAGACAGAGAGAGGGCTGTTGTCCTCCAAAGGGGCTAACAGACCCCAGTGCAAGGCATGGAGAAGGGTCCTTGGAGAGAGAAGTGCCCAAGTGTGGCACTTGGAAGGGCAGCACAAAACAAACACAGAGTCCTTTCAGTGGCTGGAGCTGGCACAAGCAGCATTGAAATGAAGCAACAAACACAAACGTCATCATAAATGCTGGGTTGCAGATAATAACCAGCAGATTAAATACCTAAGGGCCTCATGGGATGGTTGTCAGGGGCACTTGTGGTGTGGTTCCTTCGGGTCCAGCCTCTAAGACAGTTGGACTCGCTGTGTGTGGTTGTCACCCTTCCCTTCTGCTACTGGAGCTCCAGCTTACAGCCTCAGACAGCCAAACCCATGCGTTAAATATAGCCCTGCACCAAGCTGTGTGTGTGGGCAAGGCTGGAGCAGTGCTGGAAGCAGGATGGAGCTATAAAGCCTTGCAAAAAGGGGAGCAGTGGTACCCCAGGCAGGGGACATCAGATGAGGGCATCCAAGCCTTTCTATGGCCAGCAACCACCCCATATGTCCCACTTCCACTCATGCAATTGAGATGAGCATCACACCAGGCAGGAAAACACCAAACCACCTTCCTGAAGCACTGCAGCCCCTGATGTGTTGCCTAACTCAGAGCAAGGGCATGAGGTCCCCATTTGGTTTGTGGGGTGCCCAGCATCATCAGGGCGCTGGTGGAACCTGATGGATCACTCAACCCAGGGTGGAGGGAGAGGGAAGAAGTGACCTGAGTGTCCCCAGTAGGTACCAGGGTGTGCTGCAGGATGGTCAAAGCCCTCACTGGACTCTTAACACTGAGCATTGGGTGGAAATGCTGCAGGAAATTCAGCTTTGGGGGAAATTCCAGCTCTTTGGGGTAAACAGTTTTCCAAACAAAGTTAAAAGCTGAGATGACAGCATTTCCCAGGCTGTTTTTTTGAGGTTAAACCCATTTTTGTGGTACAAATCAAAAAAAGTTGTTTTAATCTTGCTTTAATCTTTATTTTCCTTTCATTTCTTGGCTTTGACTTCATGAAACTGGATTTTAAGCCCTGCAAACTAAATTGGCCTTTGGGGAGTCGTGCCATGGCTTTCATTGACTCATCTAAGTGCTGGATGCCTCAGTTGCACCTCTGGGGTGATCCCCCCTTAGTAGGACAGGCATCAAAGATGATGCTTGAAGGGCTCAGTGGAGAGACCCCCAACTCTCTTCAGAGGCCTCAAGCAAGTGAATCGTAGAGACCAACCACTTACATGCCTAAATCAGTTGCTTTGAATCCCAGCCTCAGTGAGAAAGGGAAGAGAAAAAGGTGGCAAAGCTATAAAAACCCTGCCTCGGAGAGGAATCTTGATGGAATTTGGCACCTTTCCATGAAACGTCCATGTCTGTGCACCGAGGGATGTTCTGAAGTGGGAAAATAGCCACAGAAGGGGAATTCTGGATGGTTTCCAGTGCAGAGAGCCAGGCTAAGCCCACGAGAGGGAGCTGGTGCCTCTGTACAGCACTGGACAGGCCACAAAGTGGTGTTTGCCTTCGGAAAGCCTATTTGATAGAGCAATATCCAGGGGGAAAACCAGCAACTGTGCATGGGGTGAGATGGAAGCGGCCCAGGGAAGGATGGATGTGGGTCCCTGACACCAAAGCCAGCAGGTTCTGGCTACCCTTCAGTGTCTGCTTGCTCCCACACTGATGGCAATGAGGGATATGCCTTGGTTTGACTATGCAGGGTAATTCTGTCCATCTAATATCAGCTCAAGGAGGGTTTGCACCCGAACCCCAAAGCTGGTACCCAGCTTGTGTCCGTGGGATGCTTGGAAGTGGGATGCAACCCCCTGCTATGGCTGTGTGGCCTATAGGCTGGGCCTGCGCAGCACGAGGGGAACTTGATTTTCTTGGTACCTATGAGTAAAGGGGATCAAATCAGGTGGAGCTGTGCATTTCTGTCCCATTATGGGTCATTCTGTCCCCTCTTTCTGATTCTCCTCTTTGCATGGCTCCTTGAACATCTTCCTGCTCCTTTAATACTAAGCTATCTCTATAATACTAAGCTATCACTATCTCCCTCCATGCCTTTCATAAATGGTCACAGCCAAAACACAACAATAGCACCTGCAACCCACCATGCGTGAACACAGTGGGAATTCCACCTTTTCCCTCCTCACCCATGGGTTTTAACCCTGTCTTCAACTCACTGCCTGATGCCTCCAGCAATTGTATGGAAGTAGAGAGGGGAAGAAGCCCATGAAGGACTGTGGGAAGAAGGTGGTCTAGGTGAGACTTAAAACAAGCTTTACCACTGCCTCCCCATTGACCTTGGGAGAATCATTCAATGTCTCTGATTCATGTGGGTAAGTTGGAGATAACAATACAAGGCTTCACACCCTGACCTAGAGGGCTCTTTGGATGTCAGCATCCAGCATCTTGGTGATGCTTCACCCATGGATGCCCTTACACTGGGACCACCCATCACAGATGCCTGCATCCAGAGCTTGCCCCTGCAGCGCTGAGCTCCCCTAACCAGTGTGAACACTCATCCTCTCCGTAATGCAATGCAGAAACCTGTCATGGCAAAGCTGGGGCTGCTCCCACGTTGCTCACTCCTCCAGAAATGCTGTTCCTTGACTCATTGTGGTGCCAAGGAGCTTTTGTTAGGAGCTTTCTTAGGAGCTGGGCACGCAAACAGCACAGAAAGGCATTGCTCCCCAGCATCCCCATCACACAGGAGCGTTTCCAGTGGACGGATAGAGGCACAGAGGGGAAGGCAAGGGTGTGTGCATTGTTCACTGCATGATAGGGTGTTGAGGCACTGGCACAGGCTGCCCAAAGAGGCGGTGAATGCTCCATCCCTGTGCTCAAGGCCAGGTTGGACAGA